ATTTTGTTTCATTGATTTTTTGGTCAAGTTCATTTATTCTCTATTTCATTAATTTCAGCTTTAATCTTGACTATTTCTTTTCTTCTATTGTTTTGGAGGATTTCTGTTCTTGCTTTTCTAATTTCTTGAGATGCAATGTTATTTATTTGCCATCTTTCTGTTGTTTTCTTGTGAGCACCAATGGCTATTAACTTCCCTCTTATAACTACTTTCTCTATTTCCCAATGGTTAGGGAGAGGAGTGTATTCAATATTGGTAGTTTCAAAGAATCTTTTGATTTTAGGCTTAATTTCTACCATAGTTTGAAAGTCATTCAAGAGTAGGTTGTTAAGTTTTCGTGTATCAATTGTGCAAGAATTTCTATTGAACAAGAAAAAGAAAATAAGAGTAACTTCTGGAATTATTGCCTGTAATCTTACCATGGAAAATTTTAAAAACTTTCTCCCTTTTGTTTTCAAAATTTTGAAATTGTGAGATTTTGAAATTCTAGTGTGTTGGTTATGTTGGTACATTCAGTACCAGTAAATATAAACACAATCTATTATTCAAAACTCCAGATATTGTTTTGGAATGTGTTGCTTAGACATGCTGTGGTTTCCTTTTCTGTAATAAATTTTCTGTATAAATATCTCATTTTGGATTTTTTTTGGTAGAGTTTTTCCCAAAAGTGTGTGCACTTGCTAGAGAGAGATAGAGAGGGAAATGAGAAATCAACCCCATAGGGGGTTTGAACATGCCATAGTCCCTTCTCCTTCATTCTCCTCTTCTCCTCTTGGGATTTTGGGCATGCACACACATGCTCCCAATGCTCCCAATGTTTCTGGTTTTTTTTGTTTTTTATTTTTTTGAGCCACCATGTCTGGTACTCGAATCACAAAGTTGACCATGTGGGATCCAGCACTTTAACCACCATGACACCTTTGGCCCTGGATCATTATTTTTTAAATTTCTTGGTTGCACAACATTATTTGAAAATCAGCAGTTACTTCTTATACACATTGACTGTAGATTTTTGAAAGTGGTAACAGGTACATAGGTCACCAGAGTGTAGAGCTTGTTGGGTGAATCTTTATCCTCATTATGTTTTCTGGACAATTGCACATGGATACGATATGGAACAAATCTGATTCCTTTGGCCCAGAAAGCTTTGTTGAGCCTGCTATCAATGTGTACATCTGAAATCCTCATCTCCTTCTTGGCAAATTTCTGGATCTCTTTGAGTGCCTGATGGGCACATTTCTTGAAGCCCACACCATGGATGTGCTTGTGAATGCTGGTGGTGTATTCCTGGGTCTCCACCTTGTTAATGGTGGTAGCTTCTTCCCCCCCACTTCTTTTTGGAAGCCATTCTGCTGGGCCTAAGTTGTAAAGAAACCTGGATTACTATTTTTTTTTTTTAAGAGTAAGAGTTGTATTCATTTATGTCCTGGCTCAATCCCTTTTTTCAACTTGATTTTTCAAAAGTTTAATGTTTACATTTTTCTGATTTCCCTGAATCAATATAAATTGCATTTGGTAATTGTTGCTTACATAGAGTACAAAGAGTTGAAATACAATGCACATATTTAAATAGACAATGGCTCGCATTTAGAAATGTTACTGCTTTAGTCATACTCTCATTCTTCCTTGTCGTTCATTTTTTTTCTTTTATACTCATTTTAGAAATATGCTTAAATCTCAAATCTCCTACATAATCCCATCAACACACATCATTTTACACACATCATTCTCCTTTAGTCTCTTTTCCATCCCCCCTTGCCTCTATGCTTCTGTTTCTTGCTTTTGAATTTAGAGCATCCTACATTCCACCTACCTTGACATTGACCTGTAAAATGATCATACTAGTTTTTATTTTGCTAGACTTGGGTTTCCATCTACAGCCTCTGCTTTTCTCACCTTATATATTCTTCAGCCATCTATTTATATGGTTCAACTTTCTCCAGTATTGTGTTTCAGAACTTATCATTATATTCATGCTCCTATCTTTCTTAGTCATAGGCTCATTTTTCCAAGTGCTAAGAAACATTTCTACCCAGGTGAAGGACAAGCATACTATACTCTTGATACACTAAAAAATTATCAACCTCTCCTTCTCTAATGCACACATGAAGAATATATTCTCCTTCTTGGATTCACTCATTGATAGTATCACTGGTCTTAAAGTTAGAAATATAAGTCATCATTAATTCCTTTGATCCCTTCATTTCCATTATTAAATCTGCCTTCAACTTTTATCCCCCCCCATACCTATTAAGGTTTTTCTTGAATCTGTCCCTTTGCCTCTATCTAATTACCATTTCCTTATTTAGTCTGTCATCACATACATGGATTAAAATAGTCTACCTAGCTCCCATCTGACTAGCCTTTATCTGTAGATCAAAGAGATATATTTAAAATACAAATCTAACAATTCTGCTACTTTTTTAAGCCCTGTGATGATTTCTTATTAAATTAGTTACTAAGCAATTAGTGCTCAAAATCTGCAGCCTGTGTTCTGACTTCTTTTTCCTCTCCTTGTTGCCTCATATTTTTCTCTCCAACTATTCAGAATTTCTCACAGTTGTTCATACTCATCATATATTTCTTCAGATCTCTTTTCTTCTTCTGCTTCTTTCCCCTTGAAAAGCTGTGCCACCCCAGTCCCAGCCCTCAGCATCCTAAACTTTAGCTTTCCAAATCCTACAGGAAAGTTACCATGACTTTTTAGAGCTAAACTGGATGTCATGGTTTAGGTGCTAAACTAAGAGTCCTCCATTCTCTCCTAAACTGATTTTCCATGTTTCTTATTACATTTATCATGTTACACAACGCACATCTGCTGAGGCATCTGTCTCCTTCATTAAAATGTAGGCTCATTGAGAATAGGAAAATTGTCTAATTCATCTTTTTTTTTTTTTTTCTCCCTGCAGCTCCTAGAAAGGTATGAACATTTAGTAGACATGTAATGCTGGTTGTTTGTTTTAATGAATAAGGCCCATTCATTATTCACACTTTTCCTTCAAGTTGAATTTCACTTTCAAATATTTTTTAATCTTTCAAGGATTGTTATAGAGACATGGCTTGTAAACTCACCATAGCTTTTCAAATTCTCACTTGGAAATAAGTAGACTATTAATTTTAGAAAGTGTCAATACCGTATAAAAAAAGCAATTTGAAGAAGTTGTAACAGGAATTTAGAAAAATAAGCTTTTGTGGTTAGAATAAAAGGAAACTATTAATATATAAGAAAATTGGAAAACCTTTTACAGGTTAATGACATATTTTTAAAAATAATTATGACTATGGTTTATATAGAATGCTAAATCAATACTATGTGATGTAGTTATTTCTTAGTTGCTTTTATAAAAATGATTTTGGTTACAGGTGAATTTCCCACATTTGGGTAGATTGTAATTTGTCTGCACTGCTCAAATAAATTCTCAAAACAAAAACAAGAACATACCAATTTTTTAGCTAGTCAGGATGTTATATAGAGCAAAAAGAGAGTAACAATTGTTATAATAGATAAATTATGTTAGTTCAGCAATGTTTAGAGTTATCTAAATTTATAAAGAATTGTCCAGCTTTATATATGAGCATCGTTTTACATTACATAGTGATTTCAAACAAGTTTTATTTCAGTTTTGAAAATTAAAATTTAGGAAATTTGTATAATATTCATGTTATATAACATAATAAGTAATAATACATATTAGATTAAAATAAAATAAATATAAAATAAAGTATATCTTACCTTATATATAGAGATGGATATACATATATATACAAATATATGTCTATATATATAAAATATATATATATCTAATCTTTGTTTCCAGTCCCAAATTAGACAGTTCTGTATCTTTATTACAAGTCCCAAATTAGACAGTTCTGTAAATCATAGATATTAGAAGCATTTTGTTAATTCTCTGAAGTTACATATTTTTCATGTGAGAAAGAGAAAAGTTAAAACAATTAGGTACACTGAAATATGAAAGAAATAATAGTTTATAATAGTTTAAAATAAAATTTTATGAACTATGCATTAGCATTTTGTAGCTTTGTAAAATGTTAATCTCCAAATTACTTTGCTACTTGAATATCAATTTATTCATTTTCTTGCAGAATATTTGTTTTTGTTTGAGTTCATTTATATGGCAGTTTGAAAAGCTGTTTTTGTTTGCTTGATATGGCAGTGTTATTTTAAATAAGAGTGTCAAGATAAACTGTAGTATTTTGAAACCAGTTAATTTGCTTTTTAAATAAATTCATGTTTAAATATAAGTATATTTTAAAGACAAAAACAACCAAGAACTGGAATAATGTGATTATGTAAAGTGTCCATGAGAGTAGCGTTAAAGCATGTTAACTTATTTTCTGCTCAAATCAATCTTTAATGAGGTTGAGACATCAGGTTATTATATTATGTTGAATTTCTCCTGGTTCCCTTTTTATCGATTTTGTTTTTTACTTAAAGTTAAGGACCTTTAGAAGAAGCCATATACATGAAAACAATGATAAACATTGAAATAGTAAGTTATTGATCAAAAGATGATAATGAATGATGCAAATGAATTGAAAGTATTAGACATGAGCTGTATGGGTTTGGCAGTCATCCACAGAACCAGGGTACGGTGAACATGATTCTTTGCATCACACTTGAGTGGCAATTGTAACTTAATTCTCTGTGCCCATTAAGCAATACTCTTCTTGCTGGCTTTAAATTCATGGCATCCCGAAAATCGTACAATCACTATTGTTAAGAATTTAACACAATCATTATTTATACTGATGCTTTCGCAAAAGTGACTAATTTTTTTCTTGGTATTTTTTTTTAAACTTGCATCTTTTGCAGGTGCATAGGCTCAAGTATCGAAGACTGCATCGGCCTGATGGATAGGTACTTGGCGTGCTTGCTTCCCATGTTCTTCCTCCGAGGCTCCATGTGTGAGCACTGGTGCATGTGTGTGCATGTCACTGTGGATGGAGAATGATGTTTTCTGTTCTGTAATTGCCTGCAGGTGTAACGGTCCCACTAGTCATGACTGCATTTACTACCCATGGACGGGCCATTCCACCTTACCACAACATGCTAGGTAACATCTACCATGTTTCCATTTTGTCATTCAAATCTTTTCTCAATTATCATGGACAAAAATACTAACCAGCTGGGTTAAATTTATGCTATATTAAATTAAAGAGTTATGAAAGAGGCAAAACACTTTTCAAGACACTTTATTTTTCTTTTATCCTTAGTTAATTGTAATTTCAGAGTCTAATTAGTAATGCCATTCATTTTTAACTTTGTAAATTTAAACAGGATGTTGAATTATTAATCTGGAACTTTAATATAATATTTTTATCTTAATTTATGAAGTGATTGCAAAAATATTTCTAAGGGAGGATTTTCAAAAATTGACCTATGCTGATAAGATACTGTTAATTTAATTTGATTTAGTTTCTGAATTTATATTATTTTTGAACTGGCTGGTATATTCTCTTGGCACTAGAATTACCATAGATTAAAGTGAACATAGAAATTTTTTGTGCTAAAGTACAACTTAGAATTAATAGCATATTGCTCATATTCTCACGTGCACCTATATAAGAATATTTGCAATGACTTTTTTCATAATTACCCCAAACTGGAAAATATTCCCACATCCTTCAGTTGTGACATATCCATACATTATAACACTACTGAGCAATAATAAGAAACTGATAATACACATAACATAGATGAATCTCAATGCATTATGCTAAATAAAGTAAGTCAGATATACAAGCATTCAAGGTGTAAGATTCCATTCATATGGCATTGTAGAAAAGGCAAAACTATTCCTATAGTAAAATTAATCAGTGTTGCCAGTGCTGGATAATGGGGTTGATAGAAAAGAGCAGGATGGAATTGGGGGTAATGGAATTGTTCTATCTCTTGGTCTTGGCGCTGGTTGTACAATTGCATTTGCTTGTCAAAAACTGTAGAACTATATATAAATTACATAAAGGGTAAATTCTACTGTACATAAATTACACCTCAATAAATGTTACTTTTAAAACAACTCATAAAAAACATTTCCTACACAAGAATATAGTAACTTAACAATATTATGTAGGAATATTATTAACTTTATTCATGAAACAAATTAATTGCATTTTTGGAAAAGAAAAATTAGTGGTAAAGTACCATTAGCAAAAGAAAATTTTCTATGAAGTGTTGCCCTTTAGTGGAAACTTTCTTACTGAAATACAACATACATAGTGTAAAAACACATAAAACATAACAGCAAAGCTTAGCTAATTCCCCAAAATGAATAATTTGGGTAACCATCAAGTAGATCAAGAAACAAACTAGTAATAGCGCCCCATAAACCCCCTGTGCTCTGCTCTAAGGACAACTAACTACTGACCTGGATTGCAAACACCATAGGTCCGTTGACCTGTATTTTTACTTTACATAAATTCAATCATCTGCTTATAGACCTAAGCATCTGGCTTCTTTCATTATGCATTTATGAGATTCATCTATGTCACTGAAATCAGTCATTTTAAAATGTTCCTTGGGACCAGCAGTTAGCGTAATGGCTATGTCACTGGACTCCTACGTAGTAGACCACTGTTCGAGTCTCAGATCCGGTGACTTAAACTCATGCCGGGCACATGGGCATGCGTGCCCAAGATCCCGAGAGGAGAACGGAGGAGAAGGGATTGCGGTGTGGCCATCCCCCCTGGGGGGGTGATTTCTCGCTTTCTGTCTCTCTGTCTCTCTCTGTCTGTCTGGCAAGCACATGCGCCCTATAGCAAAAACCTCTCCAAAAAAAGAAAAAAAGAATAACGTTCCTATGATATTTACTGTATCTATACAATGATCAAATAAGTGACTTATCATCTTAGTTTATTTATTTGTTTTTTAATGAAGTAGTATGGATGTTAACTTGTAAAAAGAAAGTATGTGCTAAAGTTAATTGATTTATGTAACAGTGGCACTTTGACACTTGGGCACAAAGAAATCTAGTTACTATGGTTGTTAGCCAGATTAGCATTATTTTTTAAAAAATCAAAGATTGAGAGTGGGTAAAAACGAGAAGAAAGAATGAAGAAAGGCTGGGAAAGAGAGGAAGAAAATGCGTAAGGCCTAAAATGTAGTTTTTATAAGCCAAGGTCCATCCTAAATCATTCCTATATTAATGAAAGACTGTTTCCTCCTTGAGACCTTGGTTGAGTCTCTACACTGTCACTTTGGAGAGTGTTTTTTATATTTATTTTGAGGATTTTCTCATAGTTATTTCCCAGACTGGTTTGAGGGAACCGTATGCAGAGGAGTGTACTGTCTTTGGAATCAGAGTTTCTGAATTCAGGGCTAGTCTTACTATTTTTCCACATATGACTGGGTAAGTTCCTTATTTATCTGAGTTTCACTTTCTTCACGTACAAAATGGGAATGTTAATATAGCTTTTAAGTTGATTGTGATCAAATATGTCCTTAGAATAGTGTATGGCACACAGAAATCACTAAATACATGTTATTATTTATTATTTCTCTCAATAGCAGGAATTCTCAAACCTTGGGGATGAGAGAACATAATTCCCAGGGAAAGAAGGAGAGTCTGTCAAAGTCTCCCAGGAGCTTTGATATGTGTATCTCTCCCCCTTCCAAAGGGCTCCTTGAGGGAAAGAAGGCTTTCTTTACCCCCACCTTGTGAATCACGGTCTGCAGAGGCAGAGAAAGATTTAAACCATAGTGATAGACTATGATTTTTAATGCCTGTACGTAAGATTATGTAACTGACAATCATAGGCTGTCTGATAGATTTGATATTTCCAAAATTTAAGCAGAAACAATATTGGAATTCTCAATCCCACTGCCTGCCTGAATTCCTAGGTTATGTCCTATAAGCCCAAGGTGTATTATAGCCTAATATATCTAATTCTAATTAGCTTCGTCATGAATTGGCTACCACTATAACAACATACAGCGAGAACAGTGCCGTCAGCCCGTCATTCCCAAAGAATATTACCTATAGCCCTCTGTACAGGTAAAGAACAAATACAATTGAATGTGAAAGTCCAAGTTCAAATACTGACTCTACCATCTTTCTTATCTATAAAGTGGAAATGGTAATGGTAACTATTTTTTTTTGGAGAGGTTTTTGTTTTTGTTTTTGTTTTTGTTTTGCTATAGGGCGCGTGGGCTCGCCAGACAGAGAGAGACATAGAGACAGAAAGTGAGAAATCACCCCCCAGGGGGGATGGTCACGCCGCAATTCCTTCTCCTCCATTCTCTTCTCGGGATCTTGGGCACGTACTCACACGCGCCTGGTGTGAGTTTTAAGCCACCGGGTCCAGGACGTGAAAGGCGGTCGACTACGTGGGAGTCCAGCGATATAGCCATTACACTAACTGCTGGTTCCCATAATGGTAACTTTTAAATAGAAATGCTTATACCTCACAATTATTGTGAGAATTGAATGAGATGATATATAGGAACTATCTTACATACTCAATGATGGTAGTTACTACTTTAGTTGAAAGATTGGTATAATGATCTCTAAAAAATCATGAAATTATGTTCTATAAGTATTTTAGCTACCAGAATAACATTGATCCAATAGGTTAGTGACTATAGGAATGACATACTAAAATTTCTCAGGTTTTTAGCCAGCCACAGTGGTTGTAATGCAGCACTCTGTGATGCTAAGGCTATAGGGGAGAGACCTGGGTTCAAGTCCTGAGTTCTTCCTCTACACATCTGGTTGGCTGAACGTGAGGTTGGATCATGGCATGAAGATCACACTGGGGGGTGGCCCCTCTCATAAAAATAAATAAATAAATAAATGCACTTTTTTAAAGTTTTAACATTTTTCTTAGGTATTAAGCATTTTAATTTTATATCAAGCTTATATACACAATGTTATAAAACTCTAGGTATCTTTAATTAACACCTATTTTTAACTTAAATTCAGCATAATGTAACTCTACAATTTTAGATATTGAGTTAGAATTAACTGATTTATATGGGACTGTTTATAAAATGATTTGGGATTTACATGAAGATTTAGCCTGGATGCTTTGGAAAAGTGCTTATCACCATGGAGCATCTTGACACAAATTGGATGAGAAGTGAAAATGACAAGTATCTCTTTTGCAAGCCCTTATGATTGAGAGTAAATGCTTGCCTTTCTGAGATTTGATGGGTATACATTTCACCTAAAGCAGGAAACTACACGTTTTAAATTCAGTGATTATTTTTAAGCTTTTGTGTTAATTGATTAAAGTGAATCTTACCAAATAAGACAAAAAAAAATTGAAACTAATTTCCTCAAATTTCATAAACCACATTTTAACTGGTAGAATATCCAAATGCCTAGTTTTCTTTTAGTCACAGAAAATTACATTGAGCATGTCAGTGTGGCTATTTGGAAGTATTTAGAGTTCATACTCCCTACTGCCCCATTATGCTATATTTTTTTCCTAAATCAGCAGGAGAAAAGATTAAAGATGTAAATGAAAACAGGTGAAATGTTTCCAATCTTGATCGACTTTCATTTCCTAAGCAGTGTTATTCTTTCCCAAGCCTGCAATTTGTGAATTGGCTCTCCACACTCCATTTACTTTATCGGCTGCTGCTGGAATTCCTTCTAGGAACATGGGGTAGGATAGAATAGATTTTTGTTTGTTTGTTTTACCTTTTTTACCTCAATCTCCTAGAATATGCTACTTATAATAAAAATAATACTCAATACAAAACCTCTCTCTACTTTCCTTATCAGACAGAATTAAATGCCTTAAAATTAGCATTTATCTTTGATGATTTTTCTTTTCCATCAAGAATACTGTAAAGAGATATGATCAGCAAGTTTTAAAGTTCTTTTTTGTATGTTTATTTTTGCTTGCACGTATGCTATTCTCATATAGAATCTGATGGAACAAAATATTAGATTCTATTCTCTTTTAAATTCTTTGTCAGATGCATATTCAACATTTTTAAAAACCTTAGCCTCTTATTGCTTTAGAGTAAGCAAAGAATATTGGCAAGGCATTGCTTTATGGTAATTAGCAGTCCAAAATGTAAATTTACTAATGTTCTTTTAGAATT